GCCCGTCAAGGGTTTATATTTCAGGTTTCTGAGCCCACGGCGGTGCCGAGAGCGCACCTTCCAGGATCCTGAACTCCCACAGCCCTGGACTTGCGTCCTCAGGCGCCTCTAATTCAGCGTGGTTTCGTGCCTGGGCCCCCGCAAGCCAGGGCGTGGCACAGCCTGGTGCTGGCTCTTTGCCAGGGTGGCTGCTGCTTCCGTGTGAGTCCCCAGTTGGTGGGAACATTCCAGGCCGTCCAACCGAAGCCGTTTTCCGCTTCCTTCTTTCAGTTTACTATTAAGCCGCTGGATAAGAAGATCGACGTCTTCAAGTTTAACTCCTCAAAGCTTCGTGTTAATAAGCTGGTGAGTTGAGATCCTGGCTTTTGTGACCGAATGCTGTAGTTTTTGGGAGAAATTGAACCCACAACCTCAATATATCGGGACAACACTCCAACCAACTGACCTACCTGGCCGGGGCGAAAACTTCTTCGATTTTCATGTAGAAGGATGTATCCGTCCTTTCCTTAATCCTTTGTGTCTTGCTTGACATCTTTCCTTATCCTGGGATCATAAAGATGTTTTTTGTGTTTTTTTTAAATATATTTTTATTGATTTCAGAGAGGAGGGGAGAGTGAGAGAGAGAGAGAGAAACATCAATGATGAGAGAGAATCATCGATGGGCTGCCTCCTGCGCACCCCACACTGGGGATCGAGCCCGCAACCCAGGCATGTGGCCTTGACCGGAATCGAACCTGGGACCCTTCAGTCCGCAGGCCGACGCTCTATCCACTGAGCCAAACCAGCCAGGGCCAGTTGTTCTTCTCTGTTCTCTTAGAAAGTTTCAAGGGTTTGAGCTTCGCATGTAAGTCTCTCATCCTCTGGAGCTCATTTTTGCATATGATGTGAGGGAAGGATTCGACTTTATGTTTTTCCACATGAATAACCTATTGTCCCAGCCCAGCCTACCGAGTGAGCTTTCCTAGCCTCCCTGACCGGCAGACCGAAGACCTGCTAACGTGTCTTCTATTTCTCGCCTGTGATTTAAAAATATATACTTTTTTTTTATTGATTTCAGAGAGGAAGGGAAAGAGAGAGAGAAACATCAATGATGAGAGAGAATCATCGATCAGCTGCCTCCTGCACGCCCCCCACTGGGGATCGAGCCTGAAACCTGGCATGTGCCCTGACCGGGAATCGAACCTCGACCTCCTGGTTCCTAGGCCGACTCTTAACCACGGAGCCACGCCCATTGGGTTTCTCTCTGTGATTTGTGTCCCCTGGCACATCCGAGGCACCTTCAGTTCGCTGTCTCCGGAGCTGAGAGCACTAGAGGCCATCAAGCAGGGGTTTGGCGCCTCTCTCCACGCTTCCCAGTTGTTCTTCTCTGTTCTCTTAGAAACTTTCAAGGGCTTGAGTTTCACATGAAAGTCTCTCATCCTCTGGAGCTCATTTTTGCATATGGTGTGAGGGAAGGATCCGACTTTATGTTTTTCCACCTGAATGACCTGTTGTCCCAGCCCAACCTTCCGAGTGAGCTTTCCTAGCCTCCCTGACCGGCAGACTGAAGACCTGCTAACGTGTCTTCTATTTCTCGCCTGTGATTTAAAAATATATACTTTTTTTAAATTGATTTCAGAGAGGAAGGGAAAGAGAGAGAAACATCAATGATGAGAGAGAATCAT